GAACCGTAATTCAGTCAGTGGTTGAGCCAATCGTCAGTCAGTGGTAGAGCTTGAATCTTTGCTACCACAGTTAAACCAATTTTGAATGAAGATTATCCTACCCGATGCTTGGCCGAAGACGGACTAATCGAGCGTGGACCAGGAACGGCCAACAATGAAGCCATTAGTTGAAGACTGGCTTAACCATTGGCTAAATTATGGCGCAAGCTTGTTTGCCAACACTCGGCAAGTCGAGGTTGAGCCAAGCGTGGGTCGGTTGTTGAGGCTCGGTTATTCCTGCCTGGGCACAAATGTTCGCCCAGCTAAACGTAAATAATTTCCAATCAGGAATTAATTCAAGCAAATATTCAATTTCTTGCATGATTTTGACCACTTTTTAAACTATATTGTATTGATAGAAAATTTTCAAAAAATGTTTTCTCTCCATGAAATTTATTTAAGGTTACAGCTTTCCACGGTTTCCACCGGCGAAATGTTGATATTTCAATGATACCAAATGAAACCTAATTTTTCTAAAAGAAATGGTAGATTTCTAACCTAGCGAGATAAAATAGAGGATTTGTGTTCACGCGCGGAATTACTACCCGTGTCGAAGATGACGGTAAGGGTCCTTTCTTTTACCTCCCGTGGTTAAAACCGCATTTTATGTCACTGGGCCAAAAAAACTGCTATTTAACCGAACGAAGCGTGGTTAGCATCGCGGTTTTCGGGCCCAATGACATAAAATATTGTATGTCATACGGCGATAAAAGTGTTATCTGATTCATGTGATTATAATCCTCGCCTTCGGCTCGGATTATGAAGTCAACTTCGTCAGATAATTTTAGATTTTTAGCGCCTGATGACTTAACCCTATTAGGTGAATTTCAATATCCCCACTCTACGGCCGCCAAAGCAGAATACCAGTATCCTCACTCGAGCATTCTACTACGCTTTACTACGCTTTTCACCTTAGAGGGTTAATGTACTATTCTGTCATAACTGCACTGCTAAGTTCGATTTTGTCCTCTGTAAATGAAAGGGAGGATGGTGGGCTATGCTATTCCGAGGATCGTCTAAAACGGTAGAAATGCGAGGAATGAAGTAAGCCACTTTCCTCTCGTCATTTGGGGAGGAAAATCGAACTTTCTGTGCAGATATAACGGAAATAGTATATTTCGTCATTAGGCAAAAAAAATTTTCTGGCGAAGATGATTTTGCAGCCCGCAGAAAGGTGGTGGCGCTCGTGAGAGGTGGTAGAGTGGCTGAAGGCTTCGTCGGTTTTGGTAATAAATTATGTTTTTTTTTTCAGTGGAATAAAGTGGAAGAAAGCTGTCGAAGGGGCTCCTCGTAGTGTTATTCACGAGGGAGGTAATAAAGTGGAAGGGAAAATAATTTTTTGAGAGATTTTTCAATGGATCGTTGGCGGCTGGCGATTTGGAGGTTAGTTAGATGGTGTTTTGAGGTGTAGGCGAGGGGTTGTAGAGGGGCAAGAACGATGGAGGCAGGTGGGATATCTAGGGGTTAGAGAGTGGAAGATATTAAAGGTAGCGATGATGATGTAAATTAAATTCCGAAAAATGAGAAATTGAAATTGAGAGTAATGGAAGGAAAACAGAGGCAACTCGAAATAAGAGAAGTTGAGCAAGGTTTGGATGGACGGATGGAGTGGCCACGAGGCAATTTGTGACATGAAGAATTTGGGCAGTACCATGGAGGCAGAAGCATGGTTTGGCCGACGTCTGGGGCACCTGAGGAAAGTAAGATGAATTGGAGGGAGCAGGGGAAGCAGAGGAGGATTGTGGTAAAGGGTAGACGGAAGAAGGTGACTATTATATGAATGGTAAAATGAATAACAGGCATATCGGGAGGAGACTACAAGGGAGATTTTTGTGTGACCCGAAAATGAGTGAAATTTCCATAAATCTTGAATGAAATGGAAGACTGAAGGGCAGTAAATATGAGGCACATAACGGCCGTGAAAGAATCAACATGCAACGATGGCAGTGACGCTAAGTAGTGAAGAGAGGAGGTTATGGCTAAGGTAAGGCTGAGGTGGACGTTCTGGAAAGAAGACGTAATTTTTTGGCGGTATGGCAGTACATATCTTGATTGAGGAAAACCTTGAGAGGCAATTGATCAAAAGAACTAGAAATCGAAAGGGGCGGCCAGAGAAGGATAAGTTGAAGATGTTGGAGGATCGGACAAAAGGTTACAGAACACGGAACGACAAGTCTATGTAAGTTATATAACCTTTCACAATAGCAGAGTTTATGATGGCAACTGATAAACAGCACATTCAGCACTGCATTTTATACGAATTCGAACAAGGAAAAAATGCATCTGAAGCACGGGAATCAATGTGTAGTGTTCTTGGTGCTGACGTTATATCTTATGAAACGCGTCATTATTGGTACAAACATTTTAGAAGTGGTGATTTTGATCTGAGTAACCAGCCGCGTCCTGGACAGCCTCGAAAGTTTATAAATGCGGAATTGCAAACTCTACTAGATGAAGTCCCAACGCAAACGCAACAAGAGCTTGCAGCTCAGTTACGAGACACCCGAACAGCTATTTCTAAGCGTTTGCGTCAAATGGGAAAAATCCAAAAACTTGGAAGGTGGGTCCCACATGTGTTGACCGAATACAACCTAGGTCAACGTATGAACACTTGCCTTTCACTGCTTTCCCGGCAACAAAAAAAAGGACTTCTTGTGGAGAATACGTAAATAATACGTAAATACGTCGATGACTTTATCGCCTCGAAGCCTGCAAGTTTCTTTCTGGACGGGATTCGAATGTTACCTGAGAGATGGCGCAAGGTCATAGAAAACGATGGACAATATTTCCAAGATTAAGTTCGTTGGTCTCTATTTGTTTATATTAAATAAATTTACTGAAAAATCTGTAAAAATTAAGTCACACACCTAATAAAACGCACCTTCAATTTCCCCCAGGCGGCAATTACACGCGGGTTAGAATGTCTTTTCTTCCCTTGGTGCATAATCTATTATTGCGTCGCCCGGAAACTGCATTGCGAACCGAGCTGAACGTTTACATCGAACCCCTATGAAAACTCACGTTTACCGTCACTCGCGGTCTGTCAGACGGTGACTCCATCTGGATCGCATTTCCCGTGTGTTTGAGCGAAAGAATCAATACTTTTTTAACTGAAGGTTCAAATGAGGGCTAAAATGGGGAAAGGTCAAACCAGGAACGGTTTACCGATAAAAGGGTCAAACAGGGAAGAGTTGAACAGAAGAAGCAAAACGTATGAGTGTATTTAATTTCATTTTTTTTTCACAAATATTTGTTATGAGCATGTTTTCATATAAATCTCGCCTGTTAATCCTCGATTATCGAACTAACAAAGATATGGCATTCATTATGAGTAATTGGTGGTAATTATTATTTTTCATCAATTCTCTCAGTGAATAAATTGAAAGAAATGGTTTGATGGATTTATCGTGGTGGAAAAAAAATTAAAAACGTTTTGTATCGATTGGAGCCGATGAAATGGAAAGCTACTGAAAGGTTGAAATTTGTTTCTAACATTTATCAACAGTTATACCGTGAAAGTGTTGATAGCGGTCTCACAGACTGACAGTTCGATGTAAAGGTCAAAAACTCGGTTTATCGGACACAGTGGTATAAACACGCCAGTCAACATCTAATTCCAAATGATCGATCTTCTATAAAACCGAAAAATCAAAATACTTACAATCCCGAAAGTAATCCGCCTCCCCACCCACCCAATCTCGACGATCCCATCTCAAATCTCATCGCGTACATCAAGAGTTTTCTCAAGCCCTCCTCAACTCATGAACCAACACACCCATCATCTTCAAACAGAACCATCAACAGAAGATGCAAACACATCGATGATCATTTCACGTTATGTGGAAATGGTACACACGTCCTTAAGGATAACCCCCGTTGAAGCATTTGGTGAGCATCAAACATATTCGATGTCACATATACACCCTCAAACACAGAAAGATGAAATAGGCCCTCCGTTGAAGGGGAATAAGGTGGAAAGCCAAGGAAGGCGAATATGGCAGTTACTTTCCTGACAGAGGAGAGGACCGGGGACGAGGTTATATTCACTGTGCAATATTTCGTGAAGCGTGTCGAAGGCTCAACACGAAAGAGCAGGATTGCGGGAATGCACGTATGAAAGGGGAAAAGGGAAAGGGCACAGTGGGGGTTTCTATATAACGAGACAAGGATATACGGCAGTCTGATTTCAAGGGGATGTGTGTTATGGATATTCAGAGGAGTCAGTGATGCCCCTTTTAGGATATATCCATGAGGAGCGATGAGAAATGTAGAGAAGACGTTGGCTTGAGTGTTTGGGAGTGGGATGGGGTTATATATGGGTTGAACACACCAGAACGATCACAGGGTGACACGGCAAACGGGTGAATCCAACCGGGTTTCAAGAAGAAGTGGGTGGTAGCTTGAGGGGGAGGATGAACCTCCTTGTAAATCGCATCACAGATCAAACACGATGCTTGTATATTAAATGCGAAGCTCCGTTCTACCAACTGCTGCTTATCTGCTGTCCAACTTCAGTCAAATTTGGTTTTTTACTTTGTTTTTCATTCTTCCAACATGATGTTTGATGGTGGGATCATTAAAAGATAGATGATTCATTGCTATTTGTAATTGATTCATAAAAATTCACGTTCGTTTGAAAAAAATCCTCGCATTTTATAGGTCAGACCATGCACCAAGGTCTCCAAAAAGACTTCAGTACTTTTCCTACCAGATGACGGCAGTTTCCACCGGTCTGATAGTGAGATTCGGTGCACTGTTGAAGGGTACATGTGCGCCAAACTCGAGAGTCATCCGGCCGGGAGGAATTGAGCGCCATTTGACGTTTTACGCATCGCAAGGCATTTCTTTGCATCATACGACATGTATGACACTGAGAGGGTAGATAAAAATTCCTCAAAAGATGTGAGAATCTCCCCCTTTGTCAAATAATTTGACGTACTTGAAGGTGTTACATTACTCACTTGACTCAATGGACGAATTCGTTCGTGAATTGATTTCTCAGCCTGCAACGCGGACGGAGGTGGATGGTCTGGAGTCGGTGGTTGAATATAATGGGTTGGACTTGTCGGAATTAGCATCTGGACTCGCTTCAATCTTTTGTCAGTGGCTTCTATGAGCAATTGGGCATCTCCTTCGCGTTTATCATCCAACAAACTCTCCTGTGATGATTTTAGCGTCAGAAATGCGTTTGATACGAACGTCTGGTCATGGGAAACTGCACTCTCACTGCACGGGGATACGTCAACACCTGGACTACTCTCGAAGTCGTAATTCTCATAAGCTCGTTCAGCATGTCTGCGGAGTTTTCGTCGTGGATTTTGTAGTTTGATGAGCTTATCCCCGTAGACCGCTGTCACCGCCACTGGTTCGACCTCTGGTCGCCTGCTACCCTCACTGTGACGAGCTTTCATGTCCACGTATTGGTCTACACTTCTTGTTACGTGATGTAAGTGGTCCCTACGAGACTGAAGGGTCTCCAGGTCTATGTGACTTCTGGCCCCACTTCTCGCCAAGAATAAATATTCGTAGTTGCTTGGACCCAGTGAACAGTCAGCAGACAATGACATCTGGGTTTGAAGGTGAGTGGGAGATACTGATAGGTTTCTTCGGGGCGGCTTTTTCGGTGGAATTGGCTGAAAAAAAAAATCACTCTCTCGTAAAATTGATCGAAGATGGAAAATTCATGTTCTTGCCGAATGGTAAAGAGGTTTAATTTGACAGAGCAATGTGAAAAAGCATTATCAGAAGATGTTTATCTTCAACAACTGATTTTTTTTACAAAAACGCAAAGGGCTAATGTATTCTTGTCGTACATTATCACCTAGTAGTAAGCTTCTATCTTGGATTTGATTTGTTTCACACACTTCACCACCATTGTAGCTCCAACGCCATTTAAAAATGATAGCAAGATAAATGGCCAAAAAATGATGACTTGATATTCTAAATACTGAATAACAAAAATACTTACAGAGACTTTACTATTAGAAGCAGGACTATGAAGAGAGCTCGACAAAGGTGCCATTGACAAGTATATCCCAGGGGTACAAGAATCACTCGGCAAACAACGCCTGTCCCTTCGGCTAAATCCACCGATGCTCGATGAGGAAGAGACACTCAATTGGTCCGACTCCCTTCCACTCAGTCCGTGGGTCAATGTCAAGGACAGATCCTCCGAGACATGACTGCCCTCTGTGCAACGAGGTACCGGTGGTGTTTGATAGAGACCGCTGTCAGAGCCCCTGAAGAACCACATATTGGCGATTATTATCAGCTGATCCATCGACTAAATAAATTATCTCAAAGGCGTGATCAAAATTCAATGGAACGTTTCACAGAAATGATATTAGCAATGAGTATCTCTATGTGTCATCAAACAAGCGCCCTAATCCACATCGAATGCTAAAAAAGGCAGACTTCAAGACTCAAACAGCTAAATCGAAATGAACAAAAATCTGGCGATGATCTGTAACAATGAAGAAGCACTTCTTCTATCTATGTGTTCATACCGTAGTGTGTCACCAGGTGATACGGGTGTTGTGTGGGTAGATGTGTTAAACTGTCTTTCATCGGGTGTCCGATCGGAGCTTGTGAATGTATTAATTGAGGTCATTGTATCTGACATTGATAATAGAACACTATCAAACAGCGAACTTGGATCAGAGTAGTCATCATTCATCTGCCCAACTCCTTTGGCATCCAGTTGGTCATCACTGAAATGCCTGAACATTTTCTCCATTACGTAGAATTACTCGCAATTACTCAGAGCTACTCACAAATTTTTTTTATTACAATAAGTCTCACCCGAACCACTACATCTACAAATTTTTAATGAATCCCACAGAATCAGAAAAAAAAATACTCTTTGGGAGAAGGGTTATGAGTTTTATGCTGAGACAAGGCTAACATTTACATTGTTTAACATGATGGATTAATCTCGAGGCGGTGGTACCCGGGCACCAACGTCAAACATTCAATGGTAACATGGGGATAGAGGGGGTATAAGAGAAGCTTTCAGGCTCTCTCTGGCCAGTGAGGTTTCAAGCAGTGGCAAATCGAGAGAGCCCCCAGTTTCTACCAATGCAAAGGGTGACCCCGAGGCGAACAGCCACGGACTTCAACCATCGCCCTGCCTACATCAGGAAAATTAAACCAAGCCAAGCGGTGCTTAACGCGCTGGAGCTACACCACCTTTTCACCCCCCACCCGCCCCTTCCCCTCTTCAATCACTGGGGTTACCCTTCCGCCTTCTGCCCCCCCCCTCCCTTTTTGAACCCAGTCGCCCAATCCAGAGAAGCGTTATGCCACACAGTTATTCCTGCACCTTCCAGCATTCACCTTCTCTCATTTTGATATTTCCATCTCCCTCGCACCCCTCTTCATCTACTATAGTCGTGTGCTCAGTCTACATCTGTGCTTTTGTTTGCCCACATCTCCTGTTTTAAACGCGAAACGTCCGGGATTTCAGGGCGTCTTTATCGACGTGTTGCAACCCGCAAAATATCACCCTCACAACCCGGTCAGAATTTGTAGTTAAAAAAGAAAGAAATACAAGGAAAAAAACGACAAAGGAGATTTTGCTCGAAGATGGTTGTAGGCTTTTGTGAAGAAATGCACTGTTTTATTTTCTTGGTTATTCTTTTTTTGTCTGCTCCAATTTTCTGAGTATGTTCAGTAAGCGTGGTACACTGCATCAACCGAGAAAAATGGAAATGAGATGGGTGGGGATTTGGTACTGTTGTTGTTGAGATTGTTATGATTTCCCTTGATGCATTCGTTGCAAGTGATTCTTACGTAATTTAATTGCATTGTCCTTAATTACATTCTCGCGAAACTCGGAATTGTAAATACTACGGGTGTTCTTATTATTGTAATAAGAGTGATATATGAGGATGGTTTGTCATTGTTATGCAATCTTAAGGGAGAATTAAGGAATTTAGGTGTATGATGGTAATTGTTTATTTATGAATGTGGACGTTCTGTATTGAGTCATTTCACTGAGAAAAGAATGTACTGCTTGGTAGATAAGACTTTGTTGAGATAAGCGAATTGTTTTTAAACTATCGATTCTCAAAGATAATTTATATCTTATGGCGTACGTGAGGTATCCTATTTTACGATGATTTTGTAGTACAAATTGAAAAAAAATTACTAAGGAGTGATGAAATCATTTGAAAATAAGTAGGCGACTGCAGCCATGCGGCTGTACATATTCTACTCAGTAGGGCGTCTATTCTTTTCTCGCCATCAATATATTGATTGCGGGCTTCCGAATGGATGCGTTTTATGGATAAGTTTTTAATATTCAACAATAGCTGGTTATTACAGTTATGAAATTTTAAATTTAATTCCTCATTTTATTGAGAAACATCTTAAAAATTGAACAACAAATGTAATCTGTCGCCAGACAACTCCCGATTTCGGCCATATTATATACATATATGATTGAATTCACAGTTAATGTATATCCGCGATGCAGTGCTGAAAAGGGAAACGAGGAATGAAAATTGGAGATCAGGAAGATATATCGAACCAGAGAAAAAGAATTACGTATGGCATGTATATGGACCTGGACAACTGGAAGACTGTGGAGAAGTGGGATTGAAAGAAACAATTGGAATTGAATCGGAGGGGAACTGATGGGAGAAAAAGAAAATTTAATCCATAATATTTTAGAATAAGCATGAATGAAGTAAGCTCTAATCTAGTTGAACTTAAATAAAAGGAAATAGTACGATTGTGAGACTGGAATACTCGTTATTGAGATATTGAAGAAATGAAGTTCACATACAAAGTTGAATATCTTCGAACCAAATAATCTGCTTGAGTCCATCTTCAATACAAACTGTTGCAATGTTAAGCGGGAGCTTCGTGCCAAATTTCAAGTCGATGTCTCGATTTTTACTCAAGTTAGAGCGCGAACAAGGATTTCAAGGCAAAAACAAAAATCTAAATATCTCAAAAACTTTGTATGAACGGGTATGTATATTTTGATTGATTGAGATAGAGGACATCAATCCGAATATTTTGAATAGAAAATCATTGAGATCGGTTGACTCGTTATTGAGATATTCAAAACATTAGGTTCACATTACAAAGTTGAATATCTCTAAAACTAATTGACCGATTGAGCCCATCTTCCATAACAGTCCTTGTGATGATAAGAGACAGCTTCATGCCAAATTTCAAGTCGATATCTGAATTGTTACTCAAGTTAGAGCGCGAACAAGGATTTCAAGTCAAAAACAGAAAAATCCAAATATCTCAAAAGCTTTGTATGAACGGGTATATATGTTTTGATTGATTTAGATACAGGACATCATGCCGAATACTTTGAAAAAAAATTATTGAATTCGGTTGGGTATTCTCCGAGATATTTGCGAGAAAAGATTAAAAAACAAATGGCTATTGCTCAAAAACTAATGGACGGAAAAAGCTGAAGTTTGGCATGGAGTTAGTCTCAAGTTATACCAATTAACTGAAAAAATTTCAAACCTTTTGGAATGATTTTTCCCGTTTAATTATCAAATTTACGAAAAAATGACCACCGACTGGACAGTGTCCCGCACGGACATGGTCCCCAAACTTCGTATTTTTACGTTTCAGACCATTCTGCATCATTTCCAAGCAGAATTAGAAAATGTAAAAATCGAACGATTGCAATGCTTCCATTCGAAAGCAAAATGATTTGAAGTTTTGCGAGATTGAAAACCCGAGAAAGTGTTCATTTTCGTTTTTAACATGTTTCACATGGTCAAAAGTAAACCTGTAACAGGCTGAAGGCCTTTAGTCAGGACATGACGTATTATTGCAGATATAGTTAATATGGTATACCAGAAACTAATAAAAATTAACGATAATATAGTAGCGAAAAATAAAATGAGAAATGTGTTTCAGTAAAAAATGGATAAATTACGTTGGTCAAGGAAATGAATTATTGATGGACAAAAGTGAAAGTGAATTATCAATGATAAGGTAGGTAGGAGTAGAAAAAAAAGTTATGAAATTCTTTTCTTCCGCAAAGTCCATATTTTCTCAGTGTGAAGGTTCGTATTGTTTAAATTATTACAAGTATAATATCAAAGATCTGAAAGTTTCCAAAACTTACAAAGACATGACAGATGTACCGGAAACTCGGCGATCCTCATCCCGAGGTTTGTGGTAAAATTGCCATTGTGTGGGTGACGATCCTTCCCCAGGGGATAAATCATCGCCAGGACGAACATTCTCATAGGGGCTACCCAGAGAGTCATTGCCCTGGACTGGAATTGGTGGGAGATTCTCACTGTCTGCATCGCTCTCCACTCCGGAAGACGATCGATGACCTGGAGGAAAATGAAATTAAATAGTAAAAAGATAACGGCTGAAGTAAAATCTTGGTGTCTTTCAATTTTATGATCGAGAGCACTTACGTTTTATCACTGCGGTGATATCGTGCGTAACATGAGGTGGAAACTGTCCTAGTAAATCCAAAACGGTGTTATGCCTCGAATCCCGAATGCCAAGGTCCACCCCGCGATCCAAAAGTGCCCTCACTACTTCCATTTTACCACAGAGGGCTGCTTCATGCATGGCAGTGCCTGCTGAGGTTCGCGTGTTGACGTCCACCCCAGATGCCAATAATACCTCAACCACAGCTCTGTAAACATAAAAATGTTTTATCGTCAGTATAAAAATGCCTCGGGAAATGAAAATTTTTGTGAGGTAATCGAATAGCCACAATTAGTCACATTATTGGTTTGTTGATTTCCTATTATCTAATTAATTTCCTCCAAAATTTTCATGTTTAACCGTTCTTCGTTTCAGCCCTCATTTGAACCTTCAGTTACAAAAACTATTGATTCATTCGCTCAAACAAATGGGAAATGCGATCCAGACCGAATAGCGGTCAAATAGACCGCGGGGTGCGGTGAACTTGCGTTTTCGGAGGGGTTTGGTGTAAAGGTTAATGCTGTTTAATAATTCCAGATAGTTATTCCTTTCAAAGGTTCTGAGTTTAAAAACGCAAAGATTTTTAATTTCAGTGAGCAGGTTTTTATACTGAATTTGGGGAATTTTTCTTCTGAAATCAAGTAACCGATTTGGTTCTCGTAGTCCAACGCTCTATAACAAACTGGGCCCTAGAAACTTTTTTTTCTGTCTAAAATTTCGTATTCATGAAAACGCACAAAAATTAAAAAAAAAAAATAGATTTTCCATATCATCAAAACAATCTGACATTGTGATAACGTGTCCTATCCAGCAGAGAATCAATTCCTCGGCCAATTCTATATCCAAATACGCCTGGCGTTATGCATACAGAAATATTCCGGTTGCCAGGACCATTCCGCCGTTGGGCGAAGCTCCACGATAGTGCAAAGGACAGAAACATCCCATTTGTATTGCAAGCCAGTGTGCAAGGGAGAAATTCGGGGAAAATAGCGATATATATCGCACATGCGAGAGTTGGAATATAATGCCACAGGGATGAGCCATATACAGAGGGAAAAGGGAGGGCCTAGTGAATCAAGCAGCGGCAACGGCAGCCATCCATCGCTAGATAGGATTGGAGCCAGGGAGATCGGATTCGCAATGCACCTATGTTGTTATTACCGTACCATAGGGGTATTTGTACTGGCTTACCGAGAGCAGAGATATTGAATCCGATAATTGACATTACCCCGCCTGATCGTGCTCACTATCCACCACCACTCTCTTGTATGTATTTTCCCTCTTTGTCTATTTCATTGGTGGAATTTTGGTCATGGAAATTCCGGTTGCCCATGAAAATCCCAGGGTCCAGAGGTACCAGGAGTTCAGATTTTCACGCACGTGCGTATGGACAACTGCCCCTCCCCTTTCATTTCTGACTCTTCGCCATCTCTCTCACCTTTTTGGAAAACCAGTCATGTTCCATCGCACCTACACTCTGAAGAGGATTTTACAAATGCGCTTTTAATGGAATTTCCCTCTCCATTATATGGTTGGAAAAAATACCTCATGTTCCAGCCGTTATTTAACCAAAATTCGAGAGGATAAAATGTCAGCGGTTTGGAATAGTATGACGGAGTGGTGGGGGATGAGTTGGGATGGATGGTAATAGTTGTGTCTCACTCAGTATCGGACTGGGAAATGCTGTGGAATGCATTCGACTGTAACGAAATGCGATCATAGCATTATAGTCGAAGCGTTGTTGAAACGATTATTGGCGTTCGACGTATAGAGGCAAACGCGTTAGGTCGAGATAAAAACACTGTGCGTGGGAAAAACATGAAGGAGGAGGAGGATGATATGGGGGACGGGCGCGATTACAATGTAACATTGTTGGTAGTTTCGCGGCAATTTCAATTCACAACAATTTAAATTCCTGGTATAACCCGAGATTATTCTAAAGGCTTAAAATGGAAGATTAAATGGTGATCCAAACATAACACGGCTATGTCGTTTATCAGGGAGAGGAGGGTGGGAGTGGATTTCGATGGTCATGTTACTGTGAATTCATGAAGCTTTCAGTGGGGGAGAAAAAAAGTGGTTTCATTTTGACTCTTCATTGTGCATAATCAAGGGTTGGTATTTGTGGGGCTTATTGAAGTATTTTTCATGCCTTGAAAATTCAGGGGGAACTTTTTTTTCATGGAATACCGTCAAGGTAGGAGTACCCGAGAGAGTAGCTGAACGCATATTAGGGGCGACCGGGGCAAAGCAGGGTGGCCAGGGCATAGTGGGGTACATAAAAAAAAAAGGCAAAAATTGAGAAATTCAAAGGGTTGACGAGGGGTCGATCAGGGATCCATAAAAAAGTGAACAAAAGCCCAAAAAATTCGAATAATACTAAGGAAAATTTTAAAAAAATGGAAGAACTCTGGAAATTCTTTCAAACACCGGGATGAGCTGCCATATTGGGTATTTTAATTAAAACTGAGTTCTCACAATGATCTAGACTTGAATAATCGAATGAAATTGCTAAATCCATCCCCCCACGGTCGATAACGGTGGAAAAAATGAAAAATGAGAAGAATGGAATTCCACTTGCTGTACACTGATAGAACGGTTTAGTCGAACCAAACGAGACTTTTTAACTTTACCACGATTCGTTAACTATTAACGAATCGCGGTAACAGTTAAGGAGCCTCGTTTGGTGCAACTGAATCGTTCCACCTTTCCTATCAGTGTACATACTCTCTGTTTACTGATATAAACGTGACTTTGTTACTGAAGCAAGAGAATAAAAACAATCAATTGGAAGTATTAGGATTTCCCTTCGTAAAATTGAGATGAACAAGACAAATCTAGTCAATAAATTAGGAAATTTAAATTTCTAGAAAAAAATGGCATTTTAGGAAAAAATCAATAATGAATTTGAAAAACAAAATTAATTTAACGAATAACGAAAATTTCAAAAAACGTATAGAAAATCTTTATAATATACTCTTCTGTTGATAAACATGGAATTGAAGAAAAACAATTCTCTTATGCGCACCTTATCGCGCCCCAAATTAAAAAATCGATTCATTGGGACCTTCTCTACCGATTTCAGAGTTTTTCTGTCGTTTTTTGGCGATTCGAAGGTGAAAAACAAAGAAACAACATTTATAATTACTTTAAAGTTTTTGAACACTACCCCACTGTGCCCCTAACTGCAATACGTTTGAGACGTTTGATAATTTTAGAATGTCAATAGGGATTGCTAAAAAGGAATAAAAGTATGATAGAAGCTCTGACACTCACTTCTTTGTCTTAGCTACCCCGCTTTGCCCCGGTCTCCCCTACTACTAATTATGACTTATTTCTAAATTTTTATACAGCTTTTCTCCCTTTTTTACTCTCAATTAAATTATGGTAGAAACAGAAAACTATAATCTGTTCGATCCAAGCTCAATTTTTCAGATTTAAAATAGGAATCTTTTTATCATTTTGATTTTGTGATGGACTGCACTGACACGACACCTTCAGGCGTCATCTCTTGACCGAGTCGGTTAGAGACGTTGGTCAGTGTAGCGTGTCAACCGGAAAATGTCGGAAACAACTAAATAAAATCATTATCTACGGTGAAGAAATGGGTCGATTCAGTGATTGAAATGCAAAAATGGGGAACGAAACTCGTGAAATTGTAGAAAAATTGGTGTTCGGGTACTGACGCATTGACAAATCGAACGATCCACTTAACCTCATCTGTCGAACAAATTTTCTCGCACCTTATCGTGCATTTCTTCATCAAAATATTGTTCCTGTTTGTTTTAATAAAAGATATATAATCTTGGTTTTAATGGGCGTTATTAGGGGTTGAATAAATCCATTATTTCACTGAAAAACATAGTTTCTCTATTGGATGGTTCTTACAAAAAGAAAATTCTCGTTCTTGAATTAATGATATTTCTGGGTATAACATTGATCTAATCATGTTTCATTCCTTGATGGTGATTAAATATTTAGAATAATTTCATTATGTGTTATAAGAAATTTTACGTAACATAGGGAGCTTTACTATGTTAAGATAGTAAGCTCTACTATGTATAGTAACTATTCCTGTCCATAGTACCTATTATCATTCAGGAGCGTACTATGCCCCACAGTAACCATTACGATGTTCCAGGGTAGCCATTATCATGTCCATAGTAATACTTACAAAACTTTGGTAACGTTTCCTATGTGCGGATTTTTTTTTTACGGCCTCCGACTCCCTTTTTGGATCCCATTCGGCACTCTATCCAATCCTATGCATACGCCTGTGGATTCTACACTGTACCGCATTCGCACTCCTATAGAACATAGAAGTTGCATGGGGAAACCACAGAAAACCCATGCCAGTACAGGCGGTTCCTCTATTAGCAACCTCCCGCTCGCCGGAGCCTTCCGTTGAAAAATTCGGTTCCACGGGGAATCGAACTCACAACTTTTCGCACACTAAACTTGCGTTTAATCCACTCGGCCACCGACGTCGGTCTATGTGCGGATTCCGACATAGTAATCTTTACTACTTTATTTTCTGCTTGAATGCTGACTACACATAAATTTCAAAATTTTTAATATCCAAATATTTGAAGGCAAAATTTCGTAAAAATATGATATTTTTTATTAAAATTATAGCTACTTCTTGTAAAGTTCCAGTAAAACAAGCAGGGGTATAACTCCTATCCGACAGAAGGCAAATGACCATTACTTTTTTTTTCTTATTATACATTTCTCCTTTTTTTTCCTACCAATTTCATTGGTAATAAGCTTCCGAAGGGAAGTACATGGAAATATAAAGGACCATTTCATTCATCACCATTCAATGACATTCACCAACGAAATCCAATATTGAATCAACAATCTTTTATTGTCAATTTCCACGTAGAGAATCCTTTCATTTTCTCACTTCCCTTGTCAATAAAAGTCTGTTGTTCTATTCTGATTCAATAGTTTCTTGTGATTTTATCTGTATTGCCCAAAACGTAGTAATTTCTGATGATGACGTTACTTCCTATTCAAATTTACAAAAGTCATCCACATTCCAGATGGTATTCCATAGTGCTATTCTACGTCGTTTATATGGAGTTATTGAGCTGATCCAAAGGCGAGGCAGACCAACCGCGCGAGTAAAAAAAACATAACGGCAGCCCGGAAAATATTTTTCCGTAGTGATTTTCAATTTTTCAAGTTTGGAAAGTATGCTATACC